TTTTGGGTCATCGCATGTCCCTCGTGCTCATTTGTAATAATAATAAAATTAATTTTGTAAAGAATTATTACGATTTTTTAATGTCATAAATTTCAAAAAAGGGGACCGCGGATCCTCGTGCACCACGCGTGTGGTCAGTTCTAACAAGCTTAGCTAAATTAGAAAAAATTACAGCAATTCCACTATGTCGTCAAAAATGATACTCGTTTTTCGAAAATAAATTTAGTCCTAGATTAAAATTTAATTTTTAATAAATTTATATAAAAATTGACGAAATTTGTGGTTGAAAATTTATGAATTCCAAAAAACGTGTTTTTAAAATGAATTATAGATTTAAACTGAAAATTTAATTCAAATTTTTAACTGAATCAAATAGGGCTCATTAATTACTAGTGTTTGGTATGAATAAGGAGATTAAAATTAAAAGTTTAATAAACTTATATAAAAATTAATGAAATTTGTGGTTGATAATTTATGAATCATATAAATTATGTTATTAAAATGGATTATTAATTCAATTTTTAACTGAATCAAAAATATTATTAGTCGCTACATTCTCATTTCTTATAAATTACCAGTGTTTGGTACGAATAATATTATTAACATTTGAATTTATGAAGGAAAAGTACATATACAATTAGGGCCAGTTTGATATGGGATATTTTCCATGGAAAATGGAAAATGTTTTCCAAACTTTCAACTTTTGTTGTTTGATAGCAAAAGTTTTCCATGGAATTCATTTTCCCTCTTTCCCCCATACATGTACATTTTCCATGAATCCAGCGTTTTTTTTTTTTTTTTTTAACAATGTGAATTAATTTTATTCACAATTATAAAAAATTATATCACTTTAATTGATAATTTTCATGAAAAATAAAGTCAAAAGATCCAAAATTTCAACATTTTTCTGGTAGAAAATTATATATTTTCCACCTAAATTCCATCATTGGAATCAAACGGACCCTTATATATTTTTAACCTACCAAGTACCAACAAATTATATTAATAATAAGAGCAATAAAAGAGAAAACTCCCTATGTGGATTATGCATAATTCTCGTCGAGATTATTGTGAATAACGGTAATTTGTTATAATTCTAAAGTCATCATCGAACAACCTTGACATAATTCGGCACTTATTAATTATTTTGTCAATTGTCAATAAAGAACAATGAATGGAGAGATTTTACCGTAAAATTATAATGATTCTATTATACTTCCGTTCTAAAATGACTTCCACAAAAGTTAAATTAAAAGAAAATAAAGATCATATCGCAATCATGCAATTAAAAGTGTACACCAAATTATCACAGCAAATAAGAAGACAGCCTACCCATTATTTGCTCCATCAATAGTAATGCCAGTTATATTTTTTATTGTGATTGTTTTCTTGTATTTTCATGTTAAATGCTAAAACAAAAATATGTTACTCCTTCCTAATTAAGAAACTTGAACCACCCAAAAAAGGGCAACAAATTATATGTGTCATCAAGACATATACATGCAATCTTAATGCACACATTCATAAACATAAAAGGACGGTGCTATACATATATAATGATTTACCTAATCGTTTACCTACTACTCACATCATTTGAGTGGGACCTCGATTCAGATTATTAAATAATACATGAGGCCCGCATGTTTGTAAGGGGAGTGTAAACGGTTCGGTACACCCTCCCCCCAATCGGTACAAATGGTTTATTCCAAAATAAAAAGGTAGTTTTGTGATGATAGTATTCTCGCCGCTTGCTCTGGGACTTCCAGTTCCAATCGATGCAAACCACCAAAAAATGAAAAAAATAACAAATTATATGTGTCATCGTGAAATATACATGCGATCATGTTTTATTAGAAAATATATATCAAAATACATTTTATTGTGAATTTTTCATGCATACTCTCGTTAAAATCATCTCAATTATCACAAATACGAGTAGTAGGTTCTTGCTCACCGAGGTGGAACTTCATCAATTCAAGTTGACACGACAATTTATCGACTATTAAAGTACAAAATTTATTAAGTAGAGCTTACTTTAGTTTAAGGTCATCTAAATTTGAACAAAAATGAACAAAATGTTCTAACTTCACAAAGTGGAACTCCGTCAACTGTACCTCGTGTTCGTTCAGGATAAGTTGACAAGTAGAGCAAGAAATATTTACATACAAAATTCATAAATTAAATTCTAAAAGTTTATTTATTATGGTACTCTTGCTGAAAACCATTGGCACAACTATAAGCAAAATACACATGATTAGTGTTGTGGAATTTTACCAATTCTATCTTCTCTGCCATTAAAGATGATACGTAAAGTATTCACTGTTCAAGTACAAATTCATTACGTGTGCTCTCATTTGAATTCACGCACAAATATGAGGACAAAAATGGTTATTCATTAATGAGCCAATGAATTATGTGTGAGGAAAATTGTAGTCGAGGTATCAAACCTTTCGTTTATTAGCAAACTTTGCCAAAACCTTTAGTTTGTATCACCCACAGTCTCAAACCTTTCAAAAATATGCACCAGGGGTTCAAATGGATGGAAACAGTCCGTTTGACTATTAATTGACTAGAAAAGTCAAAATTTGACCAATGTGGACCAAATTAAAAAGGGTAATGTGGTACTTTGCATTTTTTTCTTAATATTAATAATTAAAATAATTAATAATAACAATAGAAAAGTAAAAACAAAATAAATATAAATCAAAGAAAAGAAAGAGATTACTGTTCATCTTCATCTTCACCCCACCCCACCCCACCCCACGCCACACTCCATCTATTCTTATACTCATTCCCCAAGTTACAATTCACACCCACACCACCACAATTGCCGCTCGTCACCATTGTCCATTGCCACCACTTCACACGCTGCTGCTGCTGCAAATTGTACACGTATAAATAAGCCGTTTCACATTCTATTAAAGGTTGTGTGTGTAACCATTCAAATTCTTTTCAAATGCATGTTTTATATGGATTAAAAAGTGGTTGACTGCCCTTTTTAATTTGGTCCAAATTGGTCACATTTTGACTTTTTTAGTCAACTAACGGTCAAACGGACGGTTTCCATCCATTTGAACCTCTGGTGCATATTTTTAAAAGGTTTGGGACTGTGGATGACACAAATTAAAGGTTTAGGCAAAGTCTGCTAATAAACGAAAGATTTGGCATCTCGACTGCAATTTTCCCTTATGTGTGTTCATATAAGGTAGAGAAATGAAAATATTTACTTACAAACTTCATAAAACATATTCAAGTAAATAATTTCCAAGAGGGTTGAAATAGAAGATGATGAGAGTGCGAACTTTTCCTCATTATCATATAAATAAAAAACTTTAATCCATGTGATGTGATTTTATAATGTTACAAGAATCAACATTTGATGCTGGAGATCCCAATTTCTACAAATATAAATAAAAGCATGTCTTTGTTGACTGGTTTCCCAATTCAAAACTGGTTGGCTGTAGCTGCCTCCACTTCTACAAAGAGACTCTTCATTTCTCGTCCTCCACTCAAATCCCTCCTCGTTAATCGATCCGCCTCCGCCGGAAGACACCCTTTTGGCCTCCGTGCGTCGGGCTTTTATTCGTCTGTCGCTTCCCCCTCCACCGCCATGGGTGACGCTGCCGCTGATTCCGGTATGGATGCTGTCCAGAGACGCCTTATGTTCGAAGACGAGTGAGTGACAGATCCTCTACAGACCCTTTTTTAATTAAACATAGATGCATTCAAATAGACACTCGTTTGTAATCTTACATAAACATGTATTCATGTGCTGAAATTCAGGGGTTCTATTGATGGGGTTGTGATTCATGTGTTTTATGGATTAAAATTATCTGGGTTTTCGGATGAAATGAAAGTTTCGGAACTTTGCTTCACTTCCTTGTTCATGAAATAAATTTTTTTATTTTTTTTTTATTTTAAGTTTTGGTGGAAAAAATCAGCAATTCTTTATTCAGATGCTGCAATCTTCCTTTCATGAGATCATATTATTTTCCATTTTTTTCGAAATTTTTTGGCAAAAATTCTTATGTGGTTTTAGATTAGGGACTGATGATGGTAAGAATGATTTTTACACTCTTTGTAGACACAGAGACAGACCCCAGTGAGAGAGAGAGAGATGTATACATCCTACGCCC